CAGGGACACAGGTAAGTGATATTCGTGTATGTGTGTGGGTCTGGCTGTCCTCCTTACCATTTACATAATTTGTATGTATGTAAATGTATGTATCTGAATGGCTGTGTCTGTGTGCTTTCAGATTCTGGCACAGAGTAAGTGCTCAACAAACATTTGTTGCTCAAAAAAATTATAAATGAGGAAACGTGCTCACTTCCGGAGCTTACAGCCAAGTGGAGGGAGGAGGGGCTGGCAATCCCATGATCACACAATTAATTATAATTATTTCCACTGGTTTTTGTTACAAAAGAAATAATTACAGCAATGACAAGGGTTTGAAGGATAATGGGTACTTCCCCAAGGAAGATCAGATGACTCAGGTGATAGGTGAAGAGCAAAAGTTAGTAATCATAGCCAATATGTACTGAGAACTTACTATGTGCTGGGCATTCACATACATGAACGCCATTCATTCTCTCAGCATTGCCCTGAGAGAGGTGCCATTATCATCCTCCTCACAAGGGACAACCTCTCTGAGGCACAGGGAGAATAAGTAAACTGACCAAAGTCAATCAGGTATTAAGCGGCAGGGTCAGAATTTGAACCTGTGCCCAGCAGTCAGACTGGAGTTTGTGCTTTTGATCACCGCTATGCTCTCCCCCTCAAATTAACCAGGCAAGTGGGGGCCATCGGGAGAGGGATGTCACCCAAGCAGAGGGAACAGCAGGCAGAGTGAGCTTGGTGTGTTTGAGCAACAAGAGAAGAGGCTGGAGAAGTGGGCAGGGACCATGCTAAGACAGGGGAGTGGCATGATCAGCTGTGTTTTTAAAAGGTCACCCCACTGCTGCATGAATGGGTTAGATGGGGACCAGAGTGGGCCAGCAGTTGGGGAAGAAGAGAAGTGAACAGGTCTGAGGTAGATTCCAGAAGCAGGATCTTGGGTGAGAGTTACATACAAAGGTGAAGGGGTGGGGGCAGGTGAGAGGCAAAGGAGACCCCCAGGTTTCTGACTTAAGCACCTGAATAGCTGGTAATACTATGCACAGTGATAGTAATTTGAGGAAAAGATTTGGTGTAGTTTGAGACAGAAGCTTTAGCCTTAGTTCCTGTGACATGTACAAGAGACTCATGTTGATGCCCAGCATGTGGGAGATATTCAAGTCTGACGCTCAGGAGAGAACTCTGTGCTGGAGGTAGAGATTAGGCATCACCAGCAGATGGCAGGAATTGAAACCACAGGGAGGGCCAATGTGAGCCTTCTGTGTGAGCAAAAATGCAGAGCTTGGCCAGTTGTCACCTTGATTCCAGATTCTATGCTTGATGCTGGGGACATAGCAGTGAGCCATCTGGCTTGCCATCTCCAGTGCCTTCCCTTGGATTGGCAGGCGTTGACTGATCCTCCCGTCCCCTACTCTCTCCAGGGCCACCACCACCACCAATGAAGACACGCACTGTGCTCCGGGGTGATGATGTCCTCCTGCCCTGTGACCAGCCGTCCAATCTGGCCCGGGCCTTGTGGCTGCTCAACGGGAGCATGGGCCTGAGTGATGGGCAGGGTGGCTACCGTGTAGGCGTGGATGGGTTGCTGGTGACAGACACACAGCCTGAGCACAGTGGCAACTATGAGTGCTACGCTGAGGAGAATGGCCTCCGCACCCTGCTGACCTCCTACAGCCTCGTGGTACGGCCTGCCACTCCTGCCCCGGCTCCACAAGCCCCTGCCATGCCTGGGGCACAACTGGCATCTGATGTAAGGCTGCTCTATGTGCTAGCCATCGCTGCACTTGGTGGCCTTTGCCTCATCCTGGCTTCCTCCCTCCTCTATGTGGCCTGTCTTCGGGGCGGCAGACGAGGGCACCGACGGAAATACTCCCTGGGTCGGGCTGGCAGGGCAGGGGGCTCTGCTGTGCAGCTGCAGACAGTCTCAGGCCAGTGTCCAGGAGAGGAAGATGAGGGTGACGATGGAGAGGGGGCTGGAGGCCTAGAGAGTGGCTGTCTCCAAATCATTCCGGGGGAAGGAGCTCCAGCCCCACCTCCACCACCACCACCACCACCACCAGCTGAGCTGACCAATGGGCTGGTGGCATTGCCCAGCCGGCTGCGCAGGATGAATGGCAACAGCTACATGCTCCTGAGGCAGAGCAACAATGGAGTGCCCACAGGGCCCTGCTCCTTCGCTGAGGAGCTCAGCCGCATTCTGGAGAAGAGGAAGCACACACAGCTCGTAGAGCACCTGGATGAGAGCTCTGTCTGAGCCCAGCGTCCCAGGACAAATGCTCTTCCTACCAGCCTGTCTGCCCAGGCTGGGCTGCTGCCTCCCAACACAGCCCTACCTTCACCGCCCCCCACCCCCCAACTCCAGGCCCTTCTAACTTTTGATGTCCCTATAGGGCTGGCCAGAGTCAGGCCCAGCCAAAGTCCCCTCAGTCTCCACAGACCCATCTGTGAGCAGCCCAGGCCAACTGGTTCTCCTCAGAGGTAGGTGCTCCCTCAGGTTCTTCAGCCCCAGCCCCAGTTCCTATTCCTTTAACCTGAGCACGTGGGAGGAGAGGACCCCATCCTCCTGCCCATTCATCTGCTCAAATCCTCCCTCTTTCTCTCAGGCAGGGCTTGCAGGTCCAGATGGCCTCAATGTCACCATCCTCTGCATGGCCCCATGTGCTGGATGGTCCTGACACCAGACAAGACCTCTGTAGCCAAAAGAGCCACTTGAGCCCTACGTACATTCACATGCACACATGGAAGAATGTCTACCGGCTGGGCTGCAGGCCCCCACCCCCACCTTCTGGTGCATTCTTATTTCATCCCCTTTTCTGGGCTTTGGGTTCCCTCCCAATTGCCATATCCCATCCTATCTAGCTATCTAGTCCACTTCCCTAGTCCCAGCCCCCTATGATGACCTCTGTCAAGAACTTGGGAACAGGCCGGCAGTGGGAGGTAAGACTGTATCCTTCTCCTCTTCTCCCTTAATGTGTAGCCCTTACACATCAGAATTTTAGGACATTCTTAAAAAAGAAACATTTGGCCTCCTAAGAGTTTTCAAATATGATATAAACCAAATATCCCAAACTTTATTAATTTACAGTGATATGCATTGATTGTGCAATAATGTTAGGGGCAGAAATAGAATATTGGGGACTAGCTATTAGTTATCTATATATATAAAAGGCTAATATGCTAAGTGTCCCACCGTCAGACTGGTCACTATGATGTGCACTGACCACCAGGGGGTAGACGCTCAACGCAGGAGCTGCCGAGCTGCAGTGACTTGGCAGCGACAGTTCTCAGGTGATGCACCCCAAAACCAGAGAGGAGGGAGCCAGATTCCTTGTGGGGCCCTGGGATTCCACCTTTGGCTGTTGGTTATGTTGTTGCTGGGGCACTGTTGGGCCCGAATCTGGTTTACTGCACACTTGCGTTTGTGTTCAACACCCTGTATGACAGCAACTTTGCCGAGTGCCCTCTCGCACTCCAGGACCCCTCGGGGGATGTTGGAGAGCCGGTTTGGCCTGATCCCCACAGGCCAGGCCCAGGGACCCCACCTGCTTGAGGGACCCCGCCTGCTTGAGGGACCCCCCCCCCCCCCCCCCCCCCAAATGCCCTTGGTCACTCTCAAGAGTGACAGAGGCAGAGTTCTAGGCATGTCCCTCACATACACGTGCTTACATTTCCACTCACATGCACCTTATGAGCCTCCTCTTGCTGCCTCAGACCTGTCTATCAGGTTTGGTCCATGGACATTTCAAAGAGAGAGCCCTCTCTGGTGTAGCTGTCCTTGCAGACACTTCCCTAGGACGGGCAACCCACACTGCACTCAATGAGCCAGCCTCCCTTTTGGGGACCAAGCATTTGCTACCCCTAGATCAGAGCAGGAGGAAGATCTGATAACTCACCTGGCACATGAAGCCCGTTCTTGGAACTATGCAAAGGGCAGAGGCTGGGAGTTTGGATGCTTGGCTCCACCCCTGTCCTACCTCACCGGGGCACTTTTAGGGTCCAGTGGCCTCTGAAGTCTCCAGGCCCAAATGGGACAATCAAATCCTGACTGAGCTCCCCCATTCCCTTGGGTGAGGATGACTGTTATTTTTGTAGCTGAGAACGTGGGATCCCACGGATTTTTACTGCCCTTCACCCATCCTCTCCCACCTCTCCCCCACAATGAATGTATTTATTGTGAGATGGTTATACTCTTTAGGAATGCCTCCAATCCCCCCCCACTCCAGGTGGGTGGAACGGACATGTGACAGTGGGGAGCCTGGACTCCGCTCCTCCACCCTGTTGGTTAATAAATACCCTTTTCCCCATGACTGTGAGTAGTCTGCTTGGTCTAAACTGGCCTTCCCCTGCTCACCAGGGGACAGGCTTCTGAGACTATGGAAAGGTGCTGCAGGGTTAGGTCTGCTCCCCACGAAACCATTTGCAGAGGAAACTGGGATCCTCAGCTTCCATCCTGGCTGCCCTTTGTTAAGGCTCTCACTAGTAACTGATCATGGCATGAAGGGCACAACGGAAGTAGAGTGGTTCAGGACTCATATAAAGGTTTCTAGGTTTTTACCTCCTACCTCTTTTCCTCACCATCTTCTCCACCTTTTTTCTTTTTTTAGCTAAACCCCTAGAACAGTGGTTCTCAACCTTCCTAATGCCACGACCCTTTAATACAGTTCCTAATGTCGTGGTGACCCCAAATTTCATTGTTACAAACTGAACATAATTAAAGCATAGTGAATCACAAAAACAATATGTAATTATACATGTGTTTTCCGATGGTCTTAGGCAACCCCTGTGAAAGGGTCGTTCGACCCCCAAAGGGGTCGCGACCTCCAGGTTGAGAACCGCTGCCCTAGAAGATGCTCCCCATTTACCAGTAACCCTGAGAATCACTCTCTCCAAGGGTCAGGCCTAGATTAATTACACGGCCTTTCATATTAAGCATCCTGAAAGGTTTAGTACATGCCCCACTTCTGGTTTTATGATCATGAAAAATGGGGTTGTGCTTAAAATATTTTGAAGTAAGACCTCAGGTGTGACCGTGGGCAAGTTTATTCATCTCAGTTTTGTCATGTACACGCATTCATACAGCCTCGCCCGGTGCCAGGTTCACAGCAGAGAAGGTGCTGGCGCTCTCTAGCTCAGTGGCTGCAGAAACAGGACCTCAGAGACCTTCAGAAGCCGGCCTGGGAGTCCCTCGCTGTGACGAGACCACTGTCGTCAATTTGGATTTCAGAGAGGAGGACCCAGGAAGAGCCCCCAAGACTCTCAGGTTTCAGCAATGCCAACTGGCTGAGACACAAGGTCACTGCCCCTTGCAGTGGGCACCAAAAGCAACGGGCAGCTCTTCTCTGTCCCGAGCAAAAGTTTTGGCACCAACTTTCTCTTTCGGGGGCTCCATCTGTCCGTCTGGGCTTGTAACCCCCGGAACCAAAAGAGGAGGAACCGCCTTCCCTGGGGCTGGAGTCGGGGCAACTCTTCACTGCGCTTGCCCCTGGGCCGGGGCAGGACCCTGGGCCTCTCGGGGGCGCAGCCCGCCCCGGGGTGAAGGGGTGCCACTGGCCCTGGACGCTGGGGCTGTCCGTGTGGAAGGGCTTGCGGATGCGGATGATGTCCAGGCCCGACTGGGTCGCGAGCTTCTTCACCAGGGTCGTGATCTCCTCGACCGACTTGCTGTTGAGGCTCTCCTCGCCCCCAAGACTCTCAGGTTTCAGCAATGCCAACTGGCTAATTGAGACACAAGGTCACTGCCCCTCGCAGTGGGCACCAAAAGCAACGGGCAGCTCTTCTCTGTCCCGAGCAAAAGTTTTGGCACCAACTTTCTCTTTCGGGGGCTCCATCTGTCCGTCTGGGCTTGTAACCCCCGGAACCAAAAGAGGAGGAACCGCCTTCCCTGGGGCTGGAGTCGGGGCAACTCTTCACTGCGCTTGCCCCTGGGCCGGGGCAGGACCCTGGGCCTCTCGGGGGGCAGCCCGCCCCCGCCCC